TTTTTATTTGGTGCTCTATTAGCTTGGATAAGCCGTTTAAGTTGGACACATATTAAAACAATTGGTATTGAAGCTGGAATACAGAATACTGGTGTAGCATTTATGATTATATTTTATTCATTTCCACAACCATATGCCTCACAAGCAGCAGTTGTACCAATGATTGTTGCATTTTTAACAACAAAACCATTTTGGATTATATTAATAATACGAAATCAAATAAGAAAATATAAGAAACGAAAAGAATTAACAAAAACATCTAATGTAGATGGTGAATTAACTATTAGTTATCATAGATCATCATTAAATACTGAAGAAAATATTAAAACAGACAATGTTGTTGAAAATATGCAAAAACTATAAAAAAATTGTCACAGTTTTTGTTTTCTTTGTTGTTTTCTTTCTTATAGAATCAATCAGTAAATGAAGTATTGTTAACAATAAAAATAATAATCATTTTGTAGTTATACAATGTTATCTATTTATAGAAATAATATGAAATATACCTGCAGTGTGCTTCAAGAACAACTCGAAGTCTAATTAATAAGATTGTGCTGTCATTCTTTTTTGACAAGTTGCAATTTGATTAAGTTAAATATAGATATAACTTTTTTTAATTATATAGTCAAGTCCAGAAAGAAAATTAATGATCTATTTATTTATAAAACTTAAGACATTTAATTATCACCTGGATTGTTTTGAAAATCTTCAATGTAAATACAAGATAAAAACATAGTTACAATTAAGATAATTTAAAAATAAAATCTTATATACACAATAAGATGCAAAAACAATTGCTGCTAGAGCTTTTAAAAGTTCTCCCAGTAGAAACGAGGGATGAGAGCGCTTTTTCAATTAATAGATTACGCGTGTGCTGTAATCTATAATTATAGTATTTAGTAAAAACTTCGCTCTTCTTTCGAATCAATAAGATCAAAATATCTCGCTTTCTTAGAAACGGTAAAACAACTAAGAGGCTATATGCCAATTTTATCTTGTCTTTGCCAGGTCAAAAACCTTCGACAATAAAAGCTGATTGTCGGAATTGTATTTCAAAAAATGATTAGATTGAATCCAGATTATATTGAATCCGAGAAAATTTAACGATTCAAGATTGTACTTGGTATGAAGGTCACGCTATCCGATGGTCATATAATAACTTCGTGCTAATTTGATTGAGAGATCACTTCACTATTCGATCTAAGTGAACTCAGGTTAGATAGTAGAGACAGATGGATCAATCACATAGAAAGTTTCGAATATTACTACAAAAATCATTATTCTAATAGTGTAAGATGCACCATTCTCATGAAATTCATCAGCACTTATGGGAACGTAACAGTCTCATTAGATGCCTAGTGCAACTGGGCGACCTTTGTAAATAGTTCTAAAGCGACTGCTTGAAAAGTCGAAAAAATATGCTTTGATGAAATTTGCATCTTACTGTAAACGTCAAGTTGAAAGTGTTCATTTCTATATTTATTCAAACAATAAATACCTATACACATGATAATGTAAATTCGTACATTTATTACTTATAAATCTTATGAAACATATCATCTATCATAGTGAAAAAACGAACGTCATTGAAAATCTTTTTAAATATTTCGATTAAGTTACCTGGTTATGTAAAGTATTCCTTTATTTCTTTCAATTATTGACACACTGTTTATTTTATATAAATGATTGCCTGTCATGTATTTTTGTATGAAAATTTGAGTGTCTTATGCAGTTTTTCTTCTTTTCTCTTTTACTTCTATTGTTCATTTCTTTTAAAATCGAAACGAAGTAGTAAAGAATGTCGACAAAGTAAAAAATTTATAGATGTAAATGCTCTCTAATAGTCAAAAAAAGAATAAATCATGACAAGACAAACACAAAGAAGTCTATCATTTAATTCACCAATAAACGTTTCAAGAAGATCAAAACAACAACCAATTATTGCTGTTAAACGAAATGTCATACCAATTAAATTACCAACAATTGTCAATAGAACACAATCAACTAGTAAAACTATTCATACATAGTAACTCATTTATAAAAATTTTGCTTTTGTTTTCAGCTGTTAAACCATCTTCATCAGTTCATCTTCGTAATTTATCGTAAGATTAATTTTATAATCATAATTTTCGTTGATTTACTTATATGATGTTTTAAATAAGACAATCGATAGTACCATCATCAATTCTTATCGATCAATTTTCACCTCAAGATGATCTTCAACCAATTCTTCTATCATCTCATTTCACATTAATTAAAGATCATACCATAAAACAAAATCTTTCTCAAAAAGCAATACTAAAATGTAAATCACCACGAGCGGGAAGTGCTATTAGTCGATCAACAATTTTCGGTGGTACAGATATATACGAACAAACAAAATCTCGTCGTCCACTTCAGGTTTTATACTATTATATTATAATAAAACACCAGGTTAATTTTTAAATAGGGTATGGATGTCGGCACATTACTTACTGAAGCAGTACGGAATCGACTTACCCTTTTATTTAATAAAATCGATACAGACAAAGATGGGTATATATAAATAAGGTTATCTGCATAGATATACACTAAATTTTTCAGACATTTATCATATTCTCAAGTACAAATATGTTTACCACCAAATTTTCCTCATGCACAAATGACTTTCTTTCGTGTGGTTAGTTAATATCTTTAAACAAAATAACATTCTTCATTCTATATTTCTAGCTATATGATGTAATTAGTGGTACAACATTTTTTGGTTTACAAGAATTCTATGCCATAGCTATAATTGTTGAATTAGTAGCACAACAAAAGTAAAGAAAAATAGTTTATAGAAATTTCAATAAATAATACTTATAAACTATTTTAGTACAGTATTATGGAAAACATTTTTAGATGATGTTGATTTTAATTATTATCATGAAGATATTCTTGAACTTGTAGACGAATTTAATGATCAATGTCCAATAGATAGACATATAATATCTTATGAAATATTTCTTGAATTAGTTATGAAACGAATAAAAGATGGTAAAATTGAACGTGTTACAAATGAATTACAATGTATTGTACCAAATATAAAAACAATGAAAATCAATCGTATAGATTTTATTTCGTTTTTACCATTAATCATTTATATTGAATCATGTTTTAATCATGAACAATCATTATTTCGTTTTCGAGAAAATTCATTACTTGATAAACATATGCAACGAGCTTTATTATCTTAGAAATAAAAATAAATTTGCTTCTTATTTTCAAATCCATCGAGTCAAACGAAAGATTAAAATATGATACTTCTAGTGTTAGATCTTTTTTTGTTATCAAAAATCTTTTATTCTATTAATAAAGTCATTCAAATTAATCGCTTTGAATAAAACAACTTCTCAATATGGGCACTTTGGTGAACCAGCTGACCGATTGACTTTTGCTTGAAATGAGTCTCTATAACACGCAGTGGCGGATTTAGGAGAGGAGCGATGGAGGCGGTCGTCGCCCCCCCCCCCCCTTCAGAAAATTCTTTTGATTTTCTACAGCGAAAATAGGTTCACACTACTTCAATTTGACTCAAAAAATAGTTTTTAGCCGATATCACCTAGTAGCCTAACCAAAAATTTAAGGATGATGGGGCTCAGCCTCAAAACTGTCTAGTTTTTTGGATTTTTTGATTGACAAGTTCAATAACTAAAAAATCCGGGTAATGGGGCTTAAACACTCGATGATGGGGTTAAGCCCCATCTGGTCCCAGTGTGGTTACGCCACTAATATCACCCCCCCCCTACTCAGATATCACCCCTCTCTTTCAAAATCCTGGATCCGCCACTGATAGCACGGGTACCTTCGCAAAGTGAGCGATTCTAAAAGAATTCCATAGGCGCCCATCTAAGGTGTGTATCATGAGATTTATTGAATAAAGATTCTCGTATAATTCTATAATAACTGCTCTGATCTTATCTTTTCTCATATTAAAATGCGACCTCTATCGAGAAAATATTTTTTTCTTATTATAGTATTTTAACTGATTTTAATAATCCATATTATCTTATAATGATGAATTGAGTTTGCAAGATTTTGATAATTTCTTTCGAAAAATTTTATATTATTAAAAATTCTTGGCAATCTCTTTGAAATGAACTATAATAATGGCTGACAAAAAAATTGAATAAACATTT